GTCATCTCAAAAAAATAGGCCAACTGCAAGCCCCAACCCATTGCTGTAATATTATTTTCAACTCATAGAATTACAGGACAGAATAGAACTGTCCCACTTGGTTTCCAAGGTTGTAAATTTTTATGTATTATCTAATTCTTCCATCTTGCCCATGGGGGTCACCAGCAGTTTGTCTCAAGACCTTTTTGCAAAGACTAGCTCCAGGGTCCTTCCAGCCTTAACCAGGTCTGTAATCATACAAAGGTCATACATACATGCATCAGTATCCTCCAATTAATGCTGGACCTAAGAATCAATTCCCAGAAAGAAACACATTATCCTACCCATAGCCCATTTTCCAAATGAAAGGTACATTTGAGAACATCCAGGGAACATGACTCAAAAGCCAGTGCTCCACTTAAGGACAGGGCAGATTAGAAGGTTAGGAGGGGTGGGAGGGAGTCAGAATCACAAATGCCTGGAGATTAAAAAACCCAACTCACTCAATTCACTGCCATACAATTGATTCTGACTCATAGCCACCTACAGGACAAAGTAGAAAAATCTTTATAGAAGTAGGTCTTCTCCGGAAGAGGTGCCCTCAATTTGGGGAATCCATGGTATTTTGATACACACTAGCAATGCACTATTCCTTGTATGCCCAAACAATAAAATCGCTGTTTCTCTAGCACATACGATTTGCTTTAATTCAACTGGCTAGTAAAGGACTCCTAGCTTGGGCATTAACACCACTTATCTCCTGTGCAGCAGCTGGTAGGCTTGATCACCGACATTTCAGGTAGTTGCCCAAGCACTTACCACTGGATCACCAGGGCCCCTTACATCTAAAACAAAGCCAGCATATAACACAAGTTCACTTAGTGTTAGCTGAATAAGTTGAATACACAAAAATTTTAAAACGGATGCTAATTATCTAAAACATTTGATAAAAGGGGGTAGGTAAGATTTGTGGGCAATAGTGATTTTATATGAAAAACTGTTTATTCTGTATCCATTCCTACCATACCAGGCCACTTCTGAAATCTCTAAAGATATGACACAGAAGTATTTAAAAAAATACAAACAAATAATACATTTTCTTAAATTTCAACTTCCTTTTAAAACATTTCTAGGGAGATTATGGAGGAGATCTGGTGGAATAGTAGTTACTCGTTGGACTGAGATCCTCAAAGCTGACAATTAGAAACCACGAGCTGTTCTGTGAGAGAGTCAGGGATTTCTACTCCTGCTAACAAATGCAGTCTTGCAAACTCACAGGGGCAGTTCTACCCTGTCCTACAGGGTCTCTATGAGTTGGCATTGACTCAATGGCAGTGAGTTTGGTTTTTTATTTTTAGGAAGATTATATATACACATCATGGAGTCTCCCCTAAACTACCAATTTTTTCCATCATTTTTTAACCTCCCCGCTGAAAATGCTGTGACAAATCCACAAAACTGGGAACTGTTTTCTAGCAAAACACAATGTATAAGTAGCTGGACAACCAACTATTACTTAAACCAGAGGTTCTGGACTGTGGGTAATTGTGCTCCCAGGCATTCTGACAATGAATAGAAATTTATTTTATTTTCACAACTTGGGTGATGAGATAGTATTGGTATTTAGCAAGTAAAGGCCAGGGGTGCTGCTAAATATCCTATAATTCCCAGAATAACCTCTAGAACAAGAATTATTTGGCTTAAAATGTGAATAATGTGAAGGATGTGAAACTGTGGTCTAAATAAAAGCTCTGATGACACCAGTGAATGCCATACTAAAGTGTCCTGCTACCACAGAAGAATTAAAAACAAAAAAAATTTTAAATACACAAGCTGAAACAGATCTTCCAGCAATGCTGCCCCTATAATCTTAAAAACATTACTTTTTCATGTGCTTGTGTAAGCATCAACTAAAATATTGACATCACTTAACTACAGTAAATGGAAACGGTAATCTTTATTCAAAGGCCTAGACACCTTCCAAAATAATGACTAAAGGAAGAACGAACAAAACATCAGAAGCGCAAATATCACCTCAAGTTCCACCACTGTCTGCATAGCTTCCAGAGAAGAGAGGCTTTCCAGAACAGGCTTTCCAATACATAGCACACACCAATAAGAATTACATACTGTACTTTAACAATATCAATAAAGTGCATTTTGTTATAATTTTACATGAATACAAATCAAAATGAAAATCCTAGTATCAAAGAAAATAGCTTCTGATACATAGTACCAATAACATTCAATGATTTTACTGCCATTAAATCTTAGTCCAGTTATCAATTTGTAAATTTCCAATCGTCTTAAAAACCATTTGTGATCTTTGCTGCAACATTAAAGACTTATTTGCAAATGAGTCAAGAGAGGAACATGTAAATTTCTCATTATGAAAATTGGAGGGGAGCCTACAGTAATTAAAAAGGT